CATGCAAAGTTCGAATCTCTGCATTCATGGCTTCTTACCACTGAGGGCTTCTATTAGCTTGTTGGTAAGAATGGGGAATATCTGTAGAGGTCAAAACAGTAGAGAAGGAACTATGGTTTGAAGGAAAACTATATTGGTAAGGTGGTCTAGAGATACGAGTAGAACGACGTAAAGGAACAGGAGGAATAATTGAGGAATCTTATTAGAGTTCGGCCTGCCTGTTAGACTGATAACAGTCAAGGAAAAGAGAGAAGAGAGAAAGAGAGAAAGAAAGGAGAAGAGTAGAACAGAAGACAAGGAGGAAAAGGTTTGGTTCAGATGAGAGAAAAGTCAACCCTCCCATTCGGCCAGATCTGTTTTATATTACTAAAAATATTGTGGAAAAGTCACATGTGCCCCTACTTAAGTTAGGGACATTAGATCTAACATAAACTTACACATCAGCACCTAACCATAAGCACAAAGACAAAAATACCCCTACATACTCGACACTAACAAATCTAAAACTAGGGCATCACTTACAGGGTTGTCTATGATGGGCGAGGGATCCAAACCAGGAGGAAGAGGGGTCATAGGCGTAGGAGCTGGACCACGAACCCGCTTGCAAGAGAAGATGAGAAGTTCCTTCTTAGCAGTGGATGATGGAGTATCTTGTTGTTCAAAATCATGCAAAACTAAAATAGAGGGTGCAAATAACTTGGCAATTCCTGGAAAAAAAAAGAGATATGCTCAAGAAAAATCACATTTCGAGAAATACGAATTCGACGTGTTGAGGGATCATAACAAATGAATCCCTTGTTGTTCGGGCTATACCCCACAAAAGCACACATGACAGATTGAGCCGAAAGCTTTGGACGTTCACGAGAAGGAAGATGAACAAAGCTTAGGCACCCAAAGACATTTAGATGGGAAAGATCTGGGGGTGGGGGGGATCCAAACATCTTTTGATGAGGAGAAATGTTAGCAAGCACAAATGATGGGATACAATTGATCAGATATACTACAGTGCTAGCAGCCTCAACCCATAATGTGGGAGGCGCGTGTGATTCTTGTAGGAGAGTCATTAAAACATTGAGAATGTGACCATTCTTTCTTTCTACCACACCATTTTGCTGAGGAGTGTCTAGGAAGCATCATTGGATTTGTATGCCATGATGTTTCAAGTAAGCCAACAAATTCTCCGTCACTGTATTCTCCCCTTGAGTCTGAGTGTAAGGTATGTACATTCACTTGGAAACGAACTCAAACCATGTTATGAAACAACTTAAAGGTTCGAAAAACTTCTGATTTATGTTTGAGAAAGTAGATCCAAGTGTATCTAGTACAATAATCAATGAATAGCAAAAAATACTTGTATCCCATCCGAGAAATAACAAAAGAAGTCCAAACATCACTATGAATAATTTCAAAAGGCAAAATAGCATGTTCAGCTCGGTGAGTGAACGGTAAAATATGACTCTTACTCAAACAACAAGAAACACAAGATGTATCAAGGATTTCATAGAAGGAATTTTAGTTTTAATAAAACCAAACTCGAACAAGTATTTTAGAAATGGGGTGGCCCAAGCGTTTATGCCACAAATTCCAAACATAGTTTCTTTAGCTCAAACCAGGACTCAATGTAGAAGATCTCAAAAAAGCAGAGGATGATGCTGATGGAGATTTCTCAAACTCCAATGCAAACAAGCGGCCCATCTTACGCCCCTTCCCTTTCACCTTCCTAGTGCATTGGTCATGAATCAAATAACCATTAGAGGAAAAGGTTAGAATATGACCTTCATCAACTAATTGACCAACTGAAATAAGGTTGGCAGTAAGTTTAGGAACAAGGAAGGTTTTAGCAAGAAACAAGGAATTTGAGGGGGAAAGTTTGATACACATGTCATCACTCCCAATGATGTCAAGTTTCTCACCATTAGTAGTGACAATGTGTCTATAGTTGGTCTCAGACAATCTGTTTGAAGGTTCAGGAATAGGCCCCAGTCATATGATTTATAGCACCATAATCAATTACCCAAATGGGAGAAGAGCAATAACCAGAGAACTCACCAGATAGGCCGACCGATAGCAGAAAAGGCGAATGAGATGGCAGAAATACCAATTGTTTTATCTCTTCCTTATTCATGAAAGCAAAAGATTCTCCCTTGGCAATAAGGGTATCGGACACTCGTCCCTCAAACACTTGATAAGCTCGTGGCTGATTCTTCTTCATGGGTCCTTTGGGTGGACGAATTGGGCAATCTAGAATGATATGTCCATTTTGTTTGCAATATGTGCAAACATTCTTCTTTTTGCAATGAGAGGCTATATCTCCATATCCTTTACATTCATAGCATTGAGTTTCAAAAGGGTCCTTCCCACTAGATTTCTTATTCCCTCGTTCAAGAAAAACAATATCAATCCCTGAATCAAGATGTTTCCCTTATATGTTTGCAGCAGTTAGGAGTCTAGCTTCTTCCCTCAACAACTCTCCCATCACAGAGTCTAAGTCTAGAGGAGTTCCTCTACTCAAAATATTTGACTTAATTATTTCATAGTTAGGTCTTAGCTTCATGAGAAATTGGTTAACTTTCCTATTTTAAAAATGTTTTTTGCAAATACTTGACACATTCAACAGGATCAGAGGGTTCGGTATGAACAAGTTCATATTCAGCCCAGAGATCAATAAAGCCTAAATAGTATTCTTGTATCTTTTTGTCTCCTGGCAATAAGCAAAGATTTCATATTCAATCTGGTATTGCCGTGACATATTGGACTGATGATAAACCTTTTTCAAGTAGGCATACATCTCATAGGTAGTCCTCAGTCTTCTCATAGGAACACTAATGTGAGGCACAATGGAGCTCAAAATCCAGGAGACTAACTTTCCGTTGTCAAGCTTCCATTGTGTATAGGCTTTACTATCAGCCTCAGCCTCATCAGGTTTACATACAGTTCCATTCAAGTAACCTTCAAGTCCCTTTCTCTCAACAAAGAAATCAAAATGAAACTTCCACATATTGTAGTTAATTCCATCAAAGCTAGACTGTTTGCAAAGAGATTCACTCAAAAGGAAGGTGTGGGCTACAAATAGACATTTTCTCTAATGGCTAAACTAAACACCATATGGGTATTACTCTCCTCAGCAACAAACTTTTCTTGGGAGTTTCATCAATTGGGTGTTAAGAATGCTTTTCTGAATGGAGAGTTATAGGAAGATGTTAAAATGGATTCTCCTCCATGGTATGACATGAAAGGAAAAGTGTGTAAACTGAAGAGGGCCTTACATGGGCTTAAACAATCTCCAAGGGCTTGGTTTGAGAGATTGTGCAAGGCAATGAAGACTGTAAGGTACAAATAGAGCAATGCCAACCACATATTGTTCCATAAAAGAAATGGACGAAGCCTAACAGCACTGATTGTATATGTTTATGACATGATTTTCATTGGAAATGATCCAAAGGAGATTTAGAGGTTGAAGTCCTTCTTAGGCATAGAGTATGAGATTAAAGACTTGGGACCTGTAAAATATTTTTTGGGAATAGAGGTAGCTAGCTCTAGTGAAGGGGTTTATAGTTGTCAAAGGAAATATGCATTGGATCTTTTGAAGGAGACAGGAAAGATAACCAAACCGGTTCATACTCCTATAGAACAAAATCATGGGCTGCAACAAGATGATGAAGAACTTTACCCTGATAAAGAAAGATACCATAAATTTGTTGGTAAACTGTTCTACCTATCTCTCACCAGACCTGACAGTATATTCAATTCTTATGGTAAGCCAGTCTATGCATGCACCTCAAGTTTCACACATGAAAGTGGTAGAAAGGATTTTGAGTTACCTCAAGACATGCCCTATAAAAGGATTATTATTCAAGAAACATGATAGAATTGAAATGGGGGCCTATACTGATGTTGATTGGGTTGGATCTCTTGGAGATAGGAAGTCTACATCTATATATTGTACCTTTCTAGATGGTAATTTATTACTTGGAGAAGTAAGAAACAAACTGTGGTATCTAGATCAAGTATTGAAGCTGAATAAAAAGCCATGGCACATGGGGTTGCTGAGTTACTGTGGCTTCAAATTCTTCTGAATGAAATGGGGATAAATGTGAATGGACCTCTAAAGCTCTATTGTGACAACCAGACAGCGATTAACATTGCTAATAATCTAGTCCAACATGATAGAACTAAACATATTGAAATTGATAGATACTTTGTGAGGGAAAGGATTGTTCTAGAGATCTCTATATTCCTTACATGCCTACCACAAAACAGCTAGTTAATGTATTCACCAAAGGCCTTACCAAACCAAGATTTGTGGAGCTTCTATGCAAGTTGGGCATAACAGATATTTATTCTCAGCTTGAGGAGTATTGTGGGACATAAAGAGGTGGGTTTGGACCTTTAGTTCTCTATTATGTTTTTTTTTCTTTTGTTAAAGTGTATGGGCCTAGGCTTATTATGTATTTCTTATCTTTACTTGCTGCCACCTAAGTAAGGGCAGTTCTGTCTCTTACTGTAATATTCAAACTCAATTATAAAAAACATTCCTAGGATGGACAGAGGAGATTGCCACCAATTCTTCTTCTCTAACCTAGGGTTGAATGTCTTCATAAATATTAACGGGTTGAGGAAGCCAGGCCATCTACTCTCGAGCACCCTTCTCCTATCTCCTCTTAATTCTTAAACCTTTTTTTTTATTTCTGTTATTTTCTACCAAGTCTAACACCAATATAGTTGTCCATTTCGGATAAAGAAGACTTCTCCTTAGAAATTCATCAAATATATTTAACGACCAAGATGAGTGTGGTACAAGAAGAGGGTTGAGAACGACTAATTGATCTATGTTTCAACCAGTAAGATCTCCAATTTAGATCCATCAAGTGGGAGGTCCATAGTGTTTGCATGTACACTACTACTGATATGCCATCCATATATGACAATTGCCTGTAATAATACCAATAGTGCATATTTACCAATACAAAAGCATTGATTGAGCAAAAGTTAAAACATACCCATAGAACCGAAGACAATCTCTGTGTAATGAATGACCACAGCTAGCTACCCTGCTTGCAGCAGTATGGTTTGAAAAGCTAAGCTCCAAAAATTTTCCAAAAGATAAACCCCAAGCAGCATCAGACATCACCACTCTCTGAGTTGCTGGAGGAAACCCATTGGTCCGAGGACATCTCAGGCATCTATGCCACATCCAAATCTTCCCTTCTCGTTCGCCCGGCAAGAGAAACTCTGGAAGCTTCTTAACAGAAATTGTAACACTACCTTGCCGATGGGTATAACAATGAACATGTGCTTCTGATGGCATTTCACAGGAATGACAACAGTAACTCTGAGAAGAAAAATCTACTCAGTCTCAAATGTAAGTGCAATTTAGGAAAATATGTAGATACACAAAATAAGAAAAGATGACCTGGTCAAACAAATGGTCACGTAAAAAACGCCCCAAAGGCTTGTCAAAGTTACCATAGTATTTGATCCGGAATAAATGCGCCCGCTCACAAACAGTACCCTTCCATACGCACCGGGTTGATAAGGAAACCAAAATACTCTGATTATCAGAAGGAGATGGAGGAAACTCCTCCTTAGAAGGCCCCTGCCCCTCATGGTAGTTATTACTATCATGTTGCAAGGATGCTAGTTCTGAAGCATTAGGATTATTCGTAGCAACTGCATTGCAATCGATTTGAGTGCCATTACCTACAAACCCACCATTCTCTGAGGTTTCTAGGACCCCAAAACCATTAGAAATTAGGTGGCTAGCCACGTTTTTATGGCTGCAGTTGGATGCAGAAGGTTTGACCTCAAAAGATTCCTCACAGCCCATCCTATCTTTATCCTCAAAGGCATGATGTGGATCAGGCTCATTAAGGTAAGAATCAGACACAAACTGCCTTGATGGAGTTAAGGCATGGAAAAAACCAGAAGAGTGGTAGCTTGGATCTTGTCCTTTATACTGAGAGTCAAGATCTTTGGGTAAGCAAGGTGATAAGGCCATTTCCATTTTGCTATTAGATCCATTTCTGATTGGTAAAGTCACATCCGATGTGAGGACTCTTCCAGATTTTTGCAGTTCAGTACTGGATTGTGGTCCCTGACACTTGCCAATGGCAGCGATAGCAAAATCAGGTATAGTGGAAATGGACTTGTCAATACTTGATGGTTTGTCTGGAAGTGCAACAGTTATTGGGGACTTTAATGGGAGTTCTGGCAGAGAAGCCCCTTCATCGGCAAGAAAAGATGTCTCCAACGCCAAATGGTATGCTGCAAAAACTCCATATTGAACCACATGCTTCACCTTTTTCAACTCATCCCCATTGGCACCCTTCAGCAAAATCTGAAACAATAACAGCAAATAATCGTCATCTAAGTCTTATCTCAATTATATGGGATCAGCTACACGAATCCCATTTTACCATTCTGTTCTGTTTAACGCCAATAAAAGCAAAGAATATCACTTGAAATTTATTTTGACAGTTTTTATCTTCAATCAAGAAAGATAAACTATAATTCTTTCTAACAGTTTCAATCTTTCAACCACCAACCTATAGTCTATAGATAAATTACTGAAACAGTTCATGATGCATGGCAAAAGATATGGAATATGCAGAGCTCTTAAACAATAATCTTCATCATTGGTTTTACTCATCCATGTATAGCCTTTTCCTTCTTGGTTTTAGGGATGCACACGAATCAGATTGAATTCAAATCGGGGCATATCCAAATCCAATCCAGTAATGTAAATCCTATATCCAATCCAATGATTCAATGGATCTTACAAAGATTAATCCGAATTCGAATTCACTAAGGATGTCGGATATCCGAATCTGATCTAATCCAATTTAATTACCCATAGGTCTGTAAAATTTAACAAATTATTAACAGAGAATAAAACAAAACAGTCTATACAAGAAAAAAATACATAAGCATTTTTTCAACCATTTTTGTCATATATATTTTAAACAAAATGGGGGTATACATGTCTTTTTACAAAATAATATAAATAGTATAAAAATCAAATTACAAAATGTAATATAAATATATTTATATATAATATATGTATATATGTATATATATTTATATATCGGATTGCATAGGGGTATCCAAATTTGATCTGATTTTAAACAGTCCTATATTTTTTTATCGAATCCAATCCAGAAATCTGACAGAGGGATATCTGAATCCGGAAAAATAGGATCAGTTTTGAATTTGAATCGGATCATGATCCGGTAACTCCTTGATTTGCAGAAGAAGTTTCTTTTTTTTTTCTTTGGATAAAATTCAGTATTTTGTTTTTTGGCACATAAATCTCCAGTGTGGACCAAATTTATTGGTTGGTCCCAGCTACCTCCTCTGTGGTATCATATACATTTTATCATACGAAATGTACTGCAGCTTGTATGACCTAGACCATAGATTGCTCCATATAGAAATATGACAACTTGAGATAAAAGAGTTTTGAAGAGCTTACAGTGCAACCCAATGGCTTTGGGCAGTCTTCAAAGAACATCAGTGTCTTCACCAGTTTCTTCCCACCTTGCCCAGCACTGCCATGCTCTTCAAGAAACTTCTCCACATGAAATGAGTCACAGTACCCCAGCTTCTGTGATGACAAATGATCGATTGAAGGGACAATTTGTGCACCCATACAACGAGCTATTCTCTCTAAAAGTGGCCTCTTAATATTCAGAACAAGTGATATGTCTTTCGCAAGGAGGTAATCTTGGGCAAAACGAGAAACCGACTTCTCTACCAAAAGGACATTGGGATGGTGTGCATCTATCTTTGCAACTGCCATCTTCAAGTGGTCCATTTCCTAAATAAGGATGTAAAAATTCATAAGGACAATCTGTCCAGAAAAAAAAAAAAAAAACCCTATTTGATTGGTGGCTTTTCAGTTTATAAAAAACAAATGCAAGAGAGAAGTAAAAAATAAACATAAGGAAAAAAAAAAGATCAGCAAAGGAGGCTAATGACAAATACCTGCTGCAACAAAGTATCAAAACTTGAAAGGAGGTTAGAAACTCGCTGATACTCAAGTGCTCCTCCAAGGATTAAGAAACGGGGTTTCTCTATCTTTGATGCCATTCGCCTGTGTGCCACATTCTTCTTACAAACAACTCCTTTGACCACCATACTAGAAGAAATGAAATCAAAAGCTTCAACAAAAAAGAGAACTAGGAAAAACAAGTTGCAATAAAGAAATACAGAATTGAACAGCAAACCCTGAAGTTATTACAGTCCCCAGAAATGTCCTGAAATTAGTTCCAAACTAAGGTCATATCTATTCATATGTCCAATTCAAACCTAGATGCCACAATTGATCACTTTCACAAACTATGGATGCTTGTGTAAATCCTTCAAGAAGCTCCAGTGAATCAAACAATAAAATGTTCAATAATCTTTAAAGAGAGATTAGAAAGTCCTTCTATTTCTACCTTATTGAGGATAAAAAGGAGAACACCAGTTAGAATTTCCAAAGGTAAAACATCAAAAACAATATGATATGAAATATGATTAAATCAAACTCCATAAGAAACCATTATAAATCCCATACAAGCAAGATAGTCAAAGTCAAAAAAAAGGAAAAGACAATCAACAACAACAATGTATCTTTTTTTATTGGTAACCATTACATTTTACTGGTTATGAAATAAAAGAATGGTTTACATAGAATGCATGCCAAGCATCCCTTGGTTTTAGGCTAGAATTTGCCACCTAATCCTTTCCTTTACCCAAACAATCAGAGTTCAGACAATTGACACCAAAACAATGAGCCATATAACTCCTTGTTCAGTCATTTTATAAGCCAAACCTTTTCTTGACCTTTGGACCCAATAAAAGGTGGTTACTAATTCCCTCATCGGGCATTTAACCTCCTCCATGATATTCAATATTGCCACAAACCTTGACACATAACCACTCTAGAATCCCCTTCCACCATAGTGCTTGTAAAGATGGGATGGAGATTTCCGTAACACCATTGGGAACCTGGTTGAATCATAAGTCATAACCACTCTAGAATCCCCTTCCACCATAGAGGCTTCTAATGAAATAGTTCTATAATTCAGTAGTTATAGAGTCCTCATAACCTATGGGTCCCCTTCCCATCCTTGGTCCTTGTAGCACTGCTTACAATTCAGTAGTCATAGAGTCCTCATAACCTATGGGTCCCTGAGTATGGATAATAGACCTTGGGCCAGGATTTACCACTTATTAACAGAAAATGTCTAGGCCCAAGCCCAAGCCCAACCCAATTATTGGGCCTATTCTTGAGCACAAGCCCGGCCCTAATATAAGGTCCAAAGCCCAGGCCCAAGCCCGAGCCCAAAGTCAAATGTGCGTTATGCAATATCTTAGCTCTATCTTCTAATTCCATATGTTTTATCAAAAAAAAAAAAAATCTTCTAATTCCATATGTTTTAACTTGTTCCTATCCAATCACACATTTTTTGCAAATCAAAAATATTGCTTCCCAAGATACAATTATATGCCTGAGTTCAAACAAAAAAAAAATCACACATGAAAAAGACAAAATAGTAATACAAGTTATTACCTAATACCTATTACTAACATATATTTTTATTGTTTATAATATTACCTATTGGGCTTATTTAAAAATGTCCAAGCCTAGGCCAAATACTTACAGCCCAAGCCCATGGGCCTCAAAATGGGTTGGGTCAGGCAAGCCTGTCAAGCTACCTGGTCCATATGCAGGTCTAGTGGATAAGATTGCACCCTAACAATCTCCGATCAGCTCTCCTATACCTGAGACACTAGGATTACCCAAGCTACATCCTTCAAATTTCAGTTTAACTCGGTATACAGCTCATGGAAACCACTGCAATGAAACTGTAGATCTAGTTGATAATGAGAAAGCCACTCGTTACCACCCTCTAAGTGCCCATTTGGGAGGCCTAAAGTGCATCGACTTCTGGCTCTCCTGGGATACCTGGGATATGCCCAACAGCAAACATCTCACTCTTTTTTTAAATTACTTTCAGCCCAAATACCACCTCAAACCAACTGAGAACAAATCTTAGATTCACCAGATAGCCCTGCTCCACCTCATGGAAAAAATAGTGTATCATCTGCAAATTGTAACAGTGCAACATCACCCACTCCACACCCCAATCAAAGCCTTTTATGGCTCCCCCTTCAAGGACCCAAGCTATCATCTTACTCAGCATCAGCAATGCATCTATACTATATTTTAAAATGCAGTTGTCCATATCAGACTCCGCATATTGTTTCTCAATCCTTTTAGAATTTTGTTGCTTTTTGAACTTTTAAAAATATAAAATTAAATTTGAGGGTATTTAAGCTCACCCATAACCAATTCAGTTAAGAAACTGAATGTCATGGTTTTCAAAACTGGACCGGACCGGACAGTCAGACTGGAAAAACCGGGAACCGGTCAGGTGACCGGTTCTGTTTTTCCCCAAAACCAGATTTTTCCCAAAAAATGTTGGTTTTGGTCAGAAAACCATTGACCCGGGCAGTTAACTGTTCGAACAGTTTTGACCATTTTTATTTTTTTTATTTTTTTGTTAGAACGGGCCGACCGTTCAACCCGGGAACTGGACCCCTAACCAGTTCGTTCTCTAGGTCGGTTTTAAAAACCTTGCTGAATGTAACATGGGAATTTTTTAACACAAGCCCATGCATCATGTAGATCTCTTCTAGTATAAAATGGAGAGAGAACCTTAGAACTCTTAAATATTCCAAATGGAGATCCATTAAGCAAAATAGAGAATGGCTAGGATGTAACACATACCTTCATCCAATTTCTCCACCTATCACCAAAATTATCCGTTTTGAAATGTAGTCAAGGAAATTCCAGTTGACATTATTGGCACTTTCTCCATCTTCACCTTGCATACAACTAGGGGTGATCATTCTTGGCCCAACCTGGCCCAACCTGGCCCAACCTGCAAATTTCCAAGCTTGGGGCAAGATTTTTGTGTGCAGCCCAGGCCCAGGCCCACATCAATCCTGGAAAATTCAGGGCTGGGCTTGGGCCTAATGCTTGAAGTTTTAAGTTTTATTATTTTATATTTCTGAGCTTGGGCCTAACGTTTATTATAAATAAATATTTATGGATTTTAATACATTACCCATTTCTCAAAAAAAAAATATTTATGAATTGAAACATGTCAACACTTGAATCAATTCAAGTATGAGAATTGTCCTCCTAAGCAAGGGCTTATATAGGTGAAGGAAAAGCCTTCATTCTCAATCGGGAAAACACTCAATGGTTGCACTAACTATTTAGTGTTATTCCAAGTCCCACATTGCTCAAGATTGGGAATATGAAGACCTTGCCTCATCTATAAAAGGATAGGTAACCCAAGCCAAATCAATTCTAACAATAAAATGAGGCCCATGCCTTGTTTTTTGTGTCATAGGTCTAAAGCCTTGCCAAGCCCAATTTAGCTTTGGCTTGTTTAATTTTTTTGTATGTATTGCATTTACATATTATTTAATTTAAAAAAGTAAATTAATTAAATTTTATTATTTGATGTCCTAGGACCAAAGTCATTACTCGCTAGGCCTAGAAAGCCCGTAAACCCAGCCCAGGCCCATGTAGGGCCGAGTTTGGGCTTGCAATCTAGGCCTAGGGTGAGGGCTGGGTTGGGCCTAGCTTAAAGCCCTTATTATTGGTGCTAAGCCCGACTCGGGCTCGGCTCAGCCCATGATCACCCCTACATGCAACTCTTTCACTCAACCTTGAATCAATTAGTTCACGTGCTATCAACACCCCAACTAGTATCTACCTCCCTTCTACAAATGCTCCTTGGTTCATATTACATTCCTTAATACTTGGCTCATCCTTTTAGCCAACACTTAGGAAATGATTTTATAAACACTTCCAGTCATACTTGTTGGAACTGGGAAGGAAGTCCCTAATATTCTCTGCTCCTCCTTTCTTTGGAAAAAGAGTTAAGAATAGGGAGTTCAAACTTCTCATCATGCTTGCTCTCTTATGAAACTCCTCAAAAACCTTCACCAAGTCCTGCTTCAAGAAATGCCAACATACTTTGCTTAACTTCATTGTGATTCTGTGAAGCCATCTGGACCCAAGGCATTGTTGCCCTCCATTTCCTAGACTCCATCATAAATTTCCTCCTCTGTGAATTCCCTTTCTAGTTCAATTACTTGGTCATTTTACAACCTTTCAAACTGCATCCCCTCTAGTTTTGGCCCATTCTTCCACTTCTCCTTATATAAATTTTCACAAAACGCTACTACAACTTCCCCTCTAGTTTCCCTCATCTTACACTCCTAGGTTCTCAAGAATAAGCTCATTGCTAATATTATCTTTTTGGTTCTACTAATATTTTATCTAAATATCTGCATTTTTTTATCAATTATTAACATCCACATCTACACCACCCTCACTTTTTTCAATGTGCAACACACTGATCTTTACGAAATTGCCCTAGCCATCTTATAAATTTTTTTTAGATTAATTGGCATTCCCCAATCACACGACACTCCTGATGCACCCTTCCATTTCATCAACCAAACTCTAAGTCAATGGACAACATCATCATCAATCTCTCCCTCAAGGTAGAAAAAGTGGTTATATTGAGACATCTCTTGGTCTCCAATCCTATAATTGTAGAGTCCTTTCTTAGTTAAAATTCTTACAACTTATCAATGATCAAAAAACCATTACAACTTAACTTATTTCCTTTTGTGTCTCCAATCTCTCTTCTCCCTCTACCCATTAAAAGCTCTACATGCTACATGTCCAATCTCTCTCTCTTACCCTCCTTTCCCCCTCTCTATCTCTCAAAAACACAAGCAAAAGCAAAACGCATGTCCACATGGATAGCAAATGAAAAGGTAAAGGTTTACTACTAAAAAAAGGTGTAGGTGGTACAAATAGAAAAATCCAGAAGTGTTACAATCCAATCCAAAATGAAAAAAATGTAAATATCCTCCTAAAATTCTTACGTGCAGGGGTCAATTTGCGCTTGAGCTGCAAGGTGCAGGGCAAGGTACACGCCTTTATAAGCAAGGCACAAAAAATTTAAAAAAAAAAAAGATAAAATCAAAAAATTGTCAAAAATAAAAAAAGCCAAAAAAATAAAAAAATGCAAACAAATAAAAAAAATTATTAAACATAAT